ATCCAAAGTTGATGCTATTTTGCTGATATCATTCCCAGATGCCGAATTCACTGTACGTGCTTAGAGAGGCCACGTTGCAGGGAATGTGGGCACAGGGGCCCAGCTGGACCCAAGCAAGTTGTCAGACTGTATAACATCTTACTCTGGGACAATGCAAGGGCACTCCTGGCACCATAATCAATACAAGGGGCTTAAGTGGTGATAGTACTTGGAGTATCCCTTTAATCTATTACGCACATTTTATACCTCTGTCATAAAATTTTACTGTCTGCATACTTTGTCCGTGTGGTGTTGTGCATGTAATTTTAAGTCAAAAAAAAATAAAAAAAATTATTGCTTTGAATTTTCAATATTTTCTATCCATTTTTACAAGGATAATTCACTTTTTCTCCTATATTTCACAGGGAATAATCATCTGTTGGTAATTTGTAGTGACCGATGACAGTAGATAAGATAGGCCAGGAGCGTTAGGAGTGTCTGATTAAAATAAGTTTAAATGGAGAGTAAAAGAAGACGTTAACAGTAAGTTCTAAGTAACTAGTCTTTGAGCCACCACCCAGGCAGACAGCTGCTTCCAGCTGGGGGCATATCACAGAAATCAGATATGGGGCCTATATTTTGGGCCCATGCCAAGAGTAAAGCTACTCCCATGGTCCCCGCTGAGAGAGAATAAAAGCCAGACCACAGGGATATAATGGGAAAAGTAGCTATATTCAACAAAAAAATGCACTTATATAACCTCCACATCTTGAGAATCTGAAACCACAAGAGTATTTTCCAATGCTCTCACATGTTTACTTTCAGAGCCTTTTGTAGGCCAGTTCATTATGACCATTAACTATTGCACTGCCTGGTAGGCTACAGATGTGAATCGAATCATCGCTTTTTCCCCTAAAATGATGACACCTGAAATAGCCATTCAGGTCTATATATTTACTTATAATAAACATACTCTGTTGGGTTGACAAATGTGAGGTCTACCAGATGTTCTTTGACCCTCACGTAGGACGAGAGATGGGGGAATTTAGAAAATACTTTATATGGGAGGCAGATGTAATCCCCAACATTTTTGTGGTATTGAAACTCATCATGGCTACATAGGATATTACTTAACTTAAAGACATGTGGAGTGAGACCCAGACTCCAGCTTGGTATAATGAAAAGGATAGTTGAAGGTTATCATGCAAAACCAGCTGGATTGCTGTATCTTTCTTGACAATCTTTATTAACAGATATAATGAATTTAATCCGGGAAATGAATACAGGTATAGAAACCAAGTAGGAAACTAAAGGAACTAGATGTATGTAACATCAATAGACCGAATAAAAGAAGGGTTGAGCACAAAACGTATGAGAGCAATTTAAATAAACAAACCTAATCAGTAAAATGCTGTGGGCACCTCAACATGAAAAAAACAAACATACAACAAAAAAAGAAAAGGTGGAAGAGCTTAGCTTGTGGGAGGTAGAGCAGGTCATGACGGAAAGAGAAAGAATAACTATCCCCAAAATCTACTCAAACATCCCACCATTCCTCGAATACAATATTATTGGGCAAAATAAGACAACTAACATCCCCTAGTTGTTAGGTTTGAAAAGATAGTTTAGGGTTTATCTCCTATAAACTGTGCCAGGTAAAGGGACAGGATTATTCACTAAAGTCCAAATGGCATTGTATCAAATGGTGCAAAACAATTTAGGACCATTTGGACTGCAAAATCCAGACATTGTTCAGGCTTGAGGCAAATGCTTCAGGCAATTCAGGCTTCGAATAAGGCTCCAAATGCTTCTGATACAAATCCAGTTGCTTAAAAGTTGGGTTTTTAAAAATAATTATTTACCTGCTGGCAGTGCTAGCAGCCAACGGGCAAAAACAGTGAGGGAAAAAAGTATTTGATCCCCTGCTGATTTTGAATGTTTGTCCATTGACAAAGAAACGATCGGTCTATAATTTTAATGGTAGGTGTATTTTAACAGGGAGAACAGAATAACCCCCCCAAAATTAAAAAATTCATAAAGAGTCATGTCAAAAAAGTTATAAATTGATTTGCATGTCAATGAGTGAAATAAGTATTTGACCTCTTCGATTTAGTACTTGGTGGCAAAACCCTTGTTGGCAATCAGAGAGGTCAGACATTTCTGGTAGTTGGCCACCAGGTTTGCACACATCTCAGGAGGGATTTTGTCCCACTCCTCTTTGCAGATCCTCTCCAAGTCTTTAAGGTTTCGAGGCTGACGTTTGGCAAGTTGAACCTTGAGCTCCCTCAGCAGATTTTCTATGGGATTAAGGTATGGAGACTGGCTAGGCCACTCCAAGACCTTAATGTGCTTCTTCTTGAGCCACTTCTTTGTTGCCTGTGTGTTTTGGGTCATTGTCGTGCTGGAATACCCATCCACGACCCATTTTCAATGCCCTGGCTGAGGGAAGGAGGTTTTCAGCCAAGATTTGACGGTACATGTCCATTGTCCATTGTCCATTTGATGCGGTACAGTTGTCCTGTTCCCTTAGCAGAAAAACACACCCAAAGCATAATGTTTCCACCTCCATGTTTGATGGTGAGGATGGTGTTCTTGGGGTCGTAGGCAGCATTCCTCCTCCTCCAAACACGGCGAGTTGAGTTGATGACAAAGAGCTCGATTTTTGTCTCATCTGACCACAACAATTTCACCCAGTTCTCCTCTGAATCATTCAGATGTCCATTGGCAAACTTCATATGGGCCTGTACATGTGCTTTCTTGAGTAGGGGGACCTTGTGGGCGCTGCAGGATTTCAGTCCTTCACAGGGTAGTGTGTTACCAATTGTTTTCTTAGTGACTATGGTCCCAGCTGCCTTGAGAGCATTAACAAGATCGTTCCGTGTAGTTCTGGGCTGATTCCTCACCATTCTCATGATTATTGAAACTCCACGAGGTGAGATCTTGCATGGAGCACCAGACCGAGGGAGACTGACCGTTATTCTGTGTTTCTTCCATTTGCGAAAAATAGCACCAACTGTTGTCACATTCTCACCAAGATGCTTGGTGATGGTCTTGTAGCCCATTCCAGCCTTGTGTAGGTCTACAATCTTGTCCCTGACACCCTTGGACAGCTCTTTGGTCTTGGCCATGGTGGAGAGTTTGGAATCTGATTGATTGATTGCTTCTGTGGACAGGTGTCTTTTATACAGGTAACAAACTGAGATTAGGAGCACTCCCTTTAAGAGAGTGCTCCTAATCTCAGCTCGTTACCTGTACAAAAGACACCTGGGAGCCAGAAAACTTGCTGATTGATAGGGCATCAAATACTTATTTCACTCATTGACATGCAAATCAATTTATAACTTTTTTGACATGCATTTTTCTGGATTTTTTTTTTTTGGTTAATCTGTCTCTCACTGTTAAAATACACCTACCATCAAAAGTGATTATAGACTGATCATTTCTTTGTTAGTGGACAAACATTCAAAATCAGCAGGTGATCAAATACTTTTTTCCCTCACTGTAGTTAAAAACCCTTGATGCTTTGATCCATCCACCACATAAATACATTCAATAAAAAAAAAAAAAAAGCCTATGGGGGTCAAATATACCACCATATTACTTTAAGGGATGGTTTAAAAACCCCTATCCCCTCACCTGCCATCCGGCAGATGGGGACATATCTACTAAATGTTTAAAATTAGCGACTGGGCAGCCATTGCTGCCCAGTTGTTAGAAAAGCCCTATCCCACAACAGGTTGGGGTTTCATGTTCTTTACATCCTATAATAGTTTTAAATAGTTTTTGTTGAATGGCAACAATCTCTGCTAAATTGTATGGAGGTTGGTGCAACACAATTATTGGAGGTGAGAAGGTTGATGAACTACTTTTTGGACTCATGGAAGGTGACCCTTGATCCCAGGCAGAGATATTCTGTAGTACACGCTTAACAAACTGTTGCTTCAACTACACAGTAGCACCATGTTAAATCTAGGAACCATGAATTGGACTAGTCACCTTTAGAATCCAGTTTTAACCATGCCAATCAGTACTAATAGTACTATGTTTGGTACTTTATTTGTAGAGTTTGCGTTAAGGACGTGTAATAGAAAAAACAGCCTGGCCAATATTGGGAACATCTTGAAAGACTACTCAGATCCAAGCAAATAATGGCCGTCAAAGAGTTGTCAAAGACTGACAGAACTCCAGGCTTGTTTGCATGTTAATTCCAGTCATGGGCGTCCGCAGGAATTTTTCCAGGGGGGGGGCATAATTGTAATGACATCCATGCTTGGTACCTTTTTGACAGTGTCATGAAAGGGAAGGGGCATAGCCATTATCACATAAAGCCAGGGTGAATAGCGTTTTCACAACTATGGTGTCAGGAATATATATTTGTATTCCTGACACTATAGTGTTCCTTTAAGCAAATTAAAGGACCATTCTGGTCACCATAACAACTTCACCTAAATGAAAATGCTATGATGCCAGGAAGCCCCTGGGTGCTCGCTTTCCTTTAAGGGGTTAAATCGCTCTCAAATGGTTTAACCCCAAAGGCTTCCTCCAGCTCCAGGTCTCTCATTGGTATTTGGCTTCTGAAACAGAGTGTCAGGAAGTGCAGATTGACGTCAGGCATGGGTGCCGCTGATTGGCTAGAGTGGACAGTTGACGCTCTAAGCCAATCGCTAGTTCCCGGTTCATAAAATATTTTTACTTTTTATGAATGGGGAGCTACTGATTGGCTTAGAGTGCCAGCTGACCGCTCTAACCAATCAGCAACACCCCTACCCAACGGCACTCTGTGCTTCCTGACACTCAGTAAATAAAAGTGAACACATTAATACTGATATTTTTTTACCTTTGGAGATGAGAGGGTCCAGCGTTTCCCTGCCTGGCCCAGGTACCAAAGCCTTATGATATGGTGTCCAGAATAAAGTGGAGGGTTCACTTCATTTGTCCTTCCTGCTCCAATCTCCTTTTCCTCTCCTTCATTTGACAGTCTTTTTTTTCTTCTGACACTGTTTTCTATCCTTGGCCCCTTCTGCTCTTTTACCTTTCTGCTACTTTCTGCTTATTTTGTGCCCTTCTGCTCCTTTCTCATTCTGATCCCTTTCTGCTCCTTGCAGACCCTTTCTGCTCCCTTTTCTATTTTACCTTTGTGCTCCTTGCTGTCCCTTTCTGCTCCCGTTTCTACTTTACCTTTGTGCTCCTTGCTGTCCCTTACTGCTCTTTCTCCTACTTTACCTTTGTGCTCCTTCTGATTCTTTCTGCTCCTTTACCTTTGTGTTCCTTGCTGTCCCTTTCTGCTCCTTGCTGTCCTTTCTGCTCCTTGCTGCCCCTTCCTGCTCATTCTCCTACTTTACCTTTGTGCTCATTTCTGACCCTTTCTGCTCCTTCTACTTTACCTTTGTGCTGCTTTACCTTCCAGCTCCTTGCTGACCCTTCCTGTTCATTTCTGTTCCTTTGTGCTCCTTCTCCTACTTTACCTTTTGTGCTCCTTGCTGTTCCTTCCAGCTCCTTGCTGCCCCTTTCTGCTCCTTGATGTCCCTTCCTGCTCATTTCTGTTCCTTCTCCTTTTCTTACCTTACCTTCCTGCTCCTTGCTGACTCTGCATGTAGGCTGTCTCCCCCATCCCTCACTTCTATAGGGGTGCGCACGGGGTGTGTCGGGTGTGCCTGGGCACACCCTAATCCCCGCGGCACGCCAATGGATTGAGACCGGCAGGGGAGATCTCTGGATCTCCCCGGCCGGCTCATGCAGAGCTGACGCTAACCGAGCGGCGGCTCTGGTCTAAGCCTCCATGGGCCAGTGGGGAGATCAAAGTTCTACCTCACCGGTCCACAGCAGCATGGAGGGAGGCAGCAGAGAACCCGGGCTAGAGTTCACTCTCCACTGAACCACCAGGGAAGGCAGCAGGACTGGGATATTAACAAGTCTGCCCCCACCTCCGCCCAAACATACAGCACACACACATACAGCACACACAGCCCACAAACAGCACCCACACACACACACAGCACCTACACACATACATCACCCTCGCACACACAGCACCCACACACACACAGCACCCACACACATACAACACCCACACACACCCAGCACACTAACAGCATCCTCACAAACACACAAAACCCACACAGCACCCACACACAAACAGCACACTCTCATACAAACAGCACCCTGACAAACACACAACACCCGCACACAAACAGCACACTAACAGGACCCGAACAAACACGCACACACAAACACCCTCTCACACACACACACACAGACACAGCACACTACCAGTTCCCTCACAAACAGCACCCTCACACACAGCACACTAACAGCACCCTCACACACACACACAGCAGTGTGTGTGTGTATACATGTATATATATATATAACATATATGTATATATATATATAACATATATGTATATATATATATAATATGTATGTGTATATGTGTATATATGTATATGTGTGTATATATATATATATATATATATATGTGTGTATGTATGTATGTATATATATATATATATATATATATACATACACACACATACATATACACATGGCGTGTTTGTGCTTTAGGGTGCACACCCTAATGCAATAGGCTGTGCACGCCTATGCTCACTTCCCTTATCTATAGGCTGCTGCCCCCCCAAAATCTATAGGCTGCTGCCCCCCCAAAAAAAATCTATAGGCTGCTGCCCCCTCCCCCCAAAAAAATCTATAGGCTGCTGCCCCCCCAAATCTATAGGCTATCTCAAACCCTCCCCCCACTTACCTGATCTGTAGGCTGTCTCTGGCTGCATGTGTTGCTCCCCTGCGGTTTCAATCAGCAGAGAAGCAGGGATAAGATGCAGCTTCCTATCCCTGTCTCTCTCCATACACAGCGCCACCTACTGGCCGGCGCCGGTATTGCAGTTCATTCTAAATCTCACACGAAAAATATCAGAACAAGCTGAAAAATCCAGGGGGGGGGGGGGCAAGTGCCCCCCCTTGTCTCCCCCTGCGGACACCCATGGCGAAGCTCCCAGCGCTGCTTTTCTGTGCCCCTTTGTGATGTCACTGGGGCCATGTGCGTTCCAATCACAGGCGCTCTGCCTGCAAGGGGAAGATCTGTTGTCAGCGTGCAGTGCGAGTAGAATCAGAGATTCAGAATTAACATTAGACGGCCGAGAACAGAGTTCTAGGCTGCCAATGTCACGTGTGCTGGGGATGCAGCTAGCCCCCAGCATGCAATTACTAATATCGAGTAGAAACACTGCACATGCTTGCTCCTACCTCCATTACCATCATGCTGGTTGGAGTAACCCTTGATTACAAATTGTTTTTAGATGTAAAGATTTAATTAAACTGTTTATTTTTCTAGTTGTAAATGCCCAATTAAGCTGCTGCCAGAGCTTTAAAAATATATTTTGCCTGCTGCAGGCCCTCCAGATGATAGACATTCTGTAGGGCTAAAACTGGCCATTCCACATTTAAAGTGATCAGCCTGTTGTGAAATATTTTCTGAAGTGCTAGCACACAAAGTGATTGTAAGGGTAAACCGTAAACTACGGGGTGAAGTGGATACATAGACACAGACTGATGCTAAGTGGAGATAAGAAAGAACTTTGAAGTCCAGCAACTGAATGCAACCTATTACCCAGACTCAAACATTACACATTTTCCTGCAAGAAAAAAAAAGTGATTTTTATTGATGAATACACAATCAAATAAATAATAAAATGTGGTGTATTATAAGACAGTGCTTTCTGGGACAACCAAAGACAGTCTGCAACCTTGGAAGGCACGGAGTTCTCTTAACAAATTCCAGTGTACAAGAAAAGACCATTATTTTAAAAAAAAAACTTGGTTGAGTACATAGAACCCTGAAGAAGCGGATGAGTGTATGTTTTTAAATATAAGTGTCCCTGGAAAGGAAATAATGGTCACAGACTTTAACTCTTACATTTTCATGATGTTGGCCAAAGTCAACAGGGCATTGGTTCTGAAGACTTGTTGCTCCATAAAATCGTCATAACCACAAGAAATAATAAAACGAAATCTAAAGTGATTCATGCTAAGGAATGCGGAGCTGGATGACATCTAAGTTTAACGTGGACAAAGTCCCTCTGTAGGCCAACAAGTGAATGAATGGGATCATGCTTGTCAAAAGCTTTCATTGGCAAAAGGAAATACGCAACACACCTACGTTACAGAAATCCCTTTACTTAAAACAAATATATCAATCCGTAGAACGCAAAGAGCAGTCTATATGTTGTTTACATGTCCCTAAGATGTTTTAATTAGAAATTTCCACCTGCCGGCCATGAAAAGGTTTCGTGGCATCAATGGTAAATGGCAGCTTCAGAAAATAACTTCTCTCAATATAAACCTTACAAAAAAAATTAGAAACCAATTACGAATAATTCTTCTTGGTAATTACTATGGGCTTACTACAGAATTCTAGGCACATTCTAGACGTAGTAATTGGAGTCACATCAAAAGTTAAAAAAAAACAAAAAACGATTACTCCTTTATATATGAACAGTTTATAAACAGATTCTGGCAGTGGTGTCTGTATTTGTGATGTAAACCTAATTTCTACTAACCTCAACATCTGAGGAAAGGGATTTAGGGGTGATTATTTCTGATGACTTAAAGGTAGGCAGACAATGTAATAGAGCAGCAGGAAATGCTAGCAGAATGCTTGGTTGTATAGGGAGAGGTATTAGCAGTAGAAAGAGGGAAGTGCTCATGCCATTGTACAGAACACTGGTGAGACCTCACTTGGAGTATTGTACACAGTACTGGAGACCGTATCTTCAGAAGGATATTGATACCTTAGAGAGGGTTCAGAGAAGGGCTACTAAACTGGTTCATGGATTGCAGGATAAAACTTACCAGGAAAGGTTAAAAGATCTTAACATGTATAGCTTGGAGGAAAGACGAGACAGGGGGGATATGATAGAAACATTTAAATACATAAAGGGAATCAACACAGTAAAGGAGGAGACTATATTTAAAAGAAGGAGAACAACCACAACAAGAGGACATAGTCTTAAATTAGACGGGCAAAGGTTTAAAAATAATTTCAGGAAGCATTACTTTACTGAGAGGGTAGTGGATGCATGGAATAGCCTTCCAGCTGAAGTGGTAGAGGTTAACACAGTGAAGGAGTGTAACCCCTTAAGGACACATGACATGTGTGACATGTCATGATTCCCTTTTATTTCAGAAGTTTGGTCCTTAAGGGGTTAAGCATGCGTGGGATAGGCATAAGGCTATCCTAGACTTAGGACAAGGCCAGGGACTAATTAAAAATATTTTGAAATATTGGGCAGACTAAATGGGCTGAATGGTTCTTATCTGCCGTCACATTCTATGTTTCTATGTTTCTATCTTCCTGGGTTGTCTCTGAGTATTGCACACCTGAGGCTGAAACATTGTATGATTTTTTATAGCTCATATGCCCCCATAAAGGTTGTTTAGTATTTGTTTTTGCACACACCACTGGCTATCCGATTTACCTTACTGTTTGACTCTCTATACTGGGATATCAGTCTCCCCTGGGAACGGAGCTTTAGCAAGAGGTTTCTTATGATTTCCTGTGTGCAGGGCCCATTTTTTGTTTACGATTGGATCTGACAACATGTTCATGATTCGTGAGATGAAGTCTGTTACTGGAGATTGAACAAGGCACAGGGACAATCCGAGAGAACAGACAGGTAGTGAAGGCCTGAGGTCTGAGGTCAGCAGCAGGAATGAATGAGGTTACACACAAGGCATGCAGCGCAAGTCAATAATCGAACAATGAGGCAAAACAGGGGCAATGGCAAAAAAGCCAATAGTTAATCATAAAAAAAACAATTAACAGAACCTGTCACCACTTACCTGATCCTCTGCTCCCCTGCTGCGATCTCATTACAGAGGTGGTTGTTTTTTAACACCCACCTTCAGTACGCATGCACTGTGGTTCTAGAGGTCTCTTCTGTTGTTGTATATCAATTTATTCCTTGGCATAGAGTCTATGCCGAATAATTGATAGACAGGTGGCAGCACAAGTCTAAGTTAACCCTTCCTTGGGCATTCTGATAGAGGTAGGTATAAGCACTGATACAGAAACAGTGATAAAGCATCTAACATCTAGTTAGTGGTGAGTATCTGTTTAGGACAGATGAGTGGGTGCTATCTAAACCGATAGTGTACTGAATCATAACAGACACAAAGGACACTTAGGAGGTACAATTGTGCAGTTATGTAGTATGGGAACTATTTGTTACAAGGCATGTCTCATATTGTCATAGT